CAATGCTGCTGTGACTGCCCTCTCTATATGTTGCCTCAGTGTTCTGCCATACACAGCTTGCTGGTGCACCTGCCTGGACCTGAAGGATGCCTTCTTCTGCCTTTGATTGGCTCCTGTCAGCCAGCCTCTCTTCACCTTTAAATAAAAAGACCTCAGTTTGGACTCAAAATCTAACTGACCTGGATGCAATCTCCCAGAGGTTCAAAAACTTGCTTCTTTAAAAAAGTACTTCTGGTTAATGATACCCAAGATGTCTGCTAGAAAGACACAAAGCTCTGCTACAATATCTGGCAGAAACTGGTGACAAGAAATCAGCTCCACAAATTTCTTACAGCTTCTGGCTTCTACAGAATCTGGATCTTTGCATTCATAAGAACAATGAGGTTTACTGAGAACTCCAGTCCCTGGGAATGCCCAGTGGCCTATCTGTGCAAATGCTTGGATCTAGCCCCGAAGGGCTGCTTCTCACCTTAGCCTCCATGCTCTAACAGCCATTGTCCTTCTCATGAGAAGGCTGACAAGCTTACCTGAGGCCGAGACCTAACTGTCCCGGTGCCACATGCTGTACTGGACTTTGCTTGCCTAGCACTGACTGATGAACTGTTCTCAAGCCAAAATGAACCTTGGTTACGGGTGGAGGCAGATCTGTTGGAAAGGAGTGTGACAGGCTAGATATGCTGTGGTCACCTTGGACAAAATCTATTTTGGTCAAAACTCTGCTGCAGGGATGCTCTGCATAGCAAACTGCTTCCTGCTGCTGTTTGGAAACCTGCCCAATGATACAAAATAATTTGTTCCAGAGGACTAAGCCCCCTCTGGGGATCTGATTCATATAGCATCAACCCCGGCCACCAAACCTGCCCCCACAGTAAGTTCTGTGAGCTCACATCACTGCACTGGCACCCATACCCCTGCAGCCAGCTTAGCCTTCAGTCCTAACCTAACTAGTCCTAACCTCCCATTCCCTATCCATATGGAAAAGACAAGAAAAGCTGGTAGGGTCCTGCTGTAAAAAATCATTCCTAGATATAGCCTAGCCTTGATCATTGGCGGTAACAATGGGTCTATATTTGTAGCAGAGATAGACTAAAAAACTAGATTTAGAGCTGGGGATTCAGCTCAGTGGCATAAGCACCTGCCTGGCAAGCATGAGGTCATAAGTTTGATCCCTGGTACCAAAAAACAAAACAAAACTAGATTAAATAAAAACTACATATAGCATATAAACCACAAAGCTCTAGAAAAGTTAAAAAAAAACTTTGTTCCCAAGAACAGTGAGTTCTAGTTGGGCCTTGTCTCAGAAGGTTGCTCAAAGATTTGCTGAGGAAACTCACATGCATATAACCCAGGTGCATATTAACTACCTCTACAAGTTTCAGAAACCAGCCTTAGATCTGCTGGAAAATTTACCAGGACAGCTCCTTGGAGGCTCATTCTGAAGAGATAACATACTCAAAGCCCTGCGCTGATCACTCTGGATGCTGACTGGTCCATGCACAACTGAAGCCTGAGGCTATCATTCACACTGCTCTATACCCATTCCCTTTGAATTTTAGGTCTTTTCAGGCTGCTTACCCTTCCATCCCTTCCACTACCTGTTTTTTTTTTTTTTTTTTTTTTTTGCCTTAAACTCCAGCTGGTTGCCTCAAGAAAATAGAACAATCAGTCAAACACTTACCCAAGGTTTGATGAGTATCCAAGGCACATTAGATACTCTCCCAGACCAGATTAACTCCCTCATTACCTTACCAAAGTCATGTTATAGAACAGACTGGCCTAAATTATGTCTTTTTCTAAAAACAATTTAGGAAAAAACTCTGTAATAAGACAGTCTTGAGAAGCTTGGCTAGGGCCCATCCTAGGACCACTGACAACCCTAATGTTACTGCTTCTAGTTGGGCCTTGTCTCAGAAGGTTGCTCAAAGATTTGCTGGGGAAACTAAAAGATGGGGGAAATATAACAGAAAATAGCCCCCCTTCCAGTCAGTACACTTCAGTTTCTTAGATGCCCGGGTAACAGTTCTGTTCCTGTTTCAGTTCCGGTTGCTTCTGTCTCTTAGAAATGGCTGGTCACTGTGATACATAGCTGGTCACTATGATGTACATTGCATAAACCAATCCCTAATTTATAAGCCTTTCTGCTTCTGTATTTCTTGCTTGCTTATTCCTTATAAGCCGGAGGCCACCAGAGATCAGGAAATCAGGCGCTAGTACTCTTTGAATGATCCTGATCAGTGCCTGTCAGTGTAAACAAATCTGCCTCCAAATCGCAGGAGTCACTTTGCTGTTTCTGCTTGCTGTTGCACTCTGGTATGTCCGTTGAAGGTCAAATATTTAACCTTGAATTTTTAATTGTCCCACAGTATCCTACTTCCTTGCTAGGAAGAGATTCACTAGAAAAATTGGGGGATAATTCTCAAATTCTAGCAAAGGTCAAAGTGGATTTTACACTAGGCCGTGACTTCCTGACCTAATAAACCAGGTGGATGCTGCATGGCATAATGGAATACCTGATTTAAGGAAATCCTTCTTCCACATTTCAGAAAACAGAGGAATTGCTTTGGATGTTTTGACCCAAAGGCTAGGATAAGAATTCTGCTCAGTGGTATATTTTTCAAAAAAGTTAGATGAAGTGGCTGCTGGGTGCCACCCTGCCTGAGGGTAGCAGCAACTACAGTTATACTAACAGAAGAAGCTGCAAAATTAACTTTAAGACAGACTAGAAGTACTGGCCCCCTATCAGATCAGGGTTTTTTTCGGGGGGGGGGGGCTATCCTCCAAGACCCTAAAGAGGTGTGGTTCATTGATAGAAGTAGCTTTGCCTAAGGATATCAAAAGGGAGGTTATGCAGCTGTGGGTTCACAATAGGTCATTGAGGCCAACTACTCACAGGAACTTCTGCTCAAAAACACAGAGCAAACAGTTCTTATTTGGGCATTAATATTAGGCATTAATATTAGGAAAAAGTAAGCCACTATATATCTATATATCTATACAGACTCCAAATATGCTTTGCTGGTGCTGCAAGCCCAGGAAGTAATCTGGAAAGGAGTTTGCTGACTAATAAGCAATCATCTATAAAGCACAGGTGGGAAATTCTATGACTCTTAAAGACTGCCCATCTTCCCAAGCAGGCTGCTGACATTCATTGTAAGGGAGCCCAAGGAAATGTATCTAAAGTCTCCTCGGGAAGAGGGGCAGCTCCACAGCCTCTCAAGACTCGTGACTTATTCCCAGTTCCTGTGGAACCATTCTTAACCTTCCTCAAGAGACCCAGTGACAAGTTATAACAACCCTACACAGGCAGCTGTCGTCAGAATTTTCACAGGACCCAGGGGAAAGCTGTTCCTGAGAACCTTTGCAAGACCTGAGGCTCCTCTTCAGAAAGTGAGAGTCCAGTATCGCTTCAGGAGCAGATGAGTGGTGTCACTAATCACCCTAGTTCACCACAGCTAACGTGGGCCCTCTAGTGAGGGTTTTTAATTAGATCTATTGCATGGGTAATCTTGCTGAGGCTTGCAGTAACTTATCTGACCTCCGTCTTTGCATACCTTGTCCTCCCCAAGAAGCTTGGAGTTCCCACCTGCTCAGGTTACTTTCTTTTTCCCATGGAGCAGACAGCTCAATGGTCATTCATTCTTTTCTCATTGTCTTTCTCTTCCGGTACCCGGTGAGTTGCAGCACCCCAAGGTAGCTGGCACATAATCCCCAGTAGGTGGGATCCACATCCCCTCCCAGCTAGAAGAAGCTGTAGCAGACAGAGACCTTCACTCCTTTAGCATCCCAGAAAGAACTATAAAGATTAGGGTCTCCTAGGGAGGAAATGAGACGGGGAGACAGGGTGTGGTTAAAACTGCCTGGGAAAGGAGGTGGGACAGGATCCAAGGAGACTAAGCCGAACAGTTTCCAAAGCCCTGCACGCGCACTTCGTACTTCTCGCAAGACCTCAAGTGGGTTTGCCATCTGACAGCCTGGACTTGACTTCATCCCGAGTCTTGGGTGACACCAAAAGGACGTCCACGCTGAGACTCTGCTGTTGTGTTCTCTCTTGCAGGGTGTGAGCAGCCACTCATGCTGTAGGGTGCACCTCTTTTCCTGCTTGTACTTGGCACAAACTTTTCTGCAGAGCCTGTTTCTTTTCCAATTTTTATTAAGATGTTGCTACCCTTGGCACTGTCTCGACCTTTCCTAAGGACAGAACCTAGAAACTACCCCGGGAGACTCCAGCCCTCCCAAACCCGGTAACAATGGGGCCCTGGGACGGTTTTCCAGATTCTTGTGTGTGACAAAGAATGGGATGTGGCATGTGACACTAAGGCAAAGGCAGCAATGTTTAATGAAGTTTAATTTGGCACAGGGAGGCTCAGAGCGAGCCAGGTCATGCTGACCGAATGGAAAATGCCACAGGGCCTGAGCAGCTGGATTTATGAACAGAAGTTGTGCCAGGCCCAAGGCACCGTGCCCCTGGGTCTTTCAGAGCCAATGGACAACATGATTGACAGGGTGCTGAGTTACCTGCTGTGGACAACATGATTGACAGGGCGCTGAGTCACCTGCTGAGGCCACACAGCCCCAGGGATGGTGTCTTTCTGAGCTGCAGGGTCCACAGCCCTGTCAGCTTGTCTTCCTGCCCTGTGCCCAAGCATTAGCTGTTTCCATAGCCCAGGTCTCCTCCTCCTCGGTTCTGTGAGACCCAGGCCATCGTTGCCCCTCCCTGACCCCATCAGGAAGTCAAGGACTTCTGTGCCTCGGAGCCCTCATCACACTGTGATGTGACCATAGTGCCCCATGTGTCTCTCCCCTGGATTGACAGTGGCTCATTCATGTTTACCCCGTCTACCCCAGGCTCACCCCAGGCCAGTATCCTCTCCAGCCAGGGAGCCCTGGGGGAGGTGAAGAGGAAGTGAGTGATTGCATCCTGCATCTACACAAAAAAGTCCTTTCTGTTCAAAAACTGAGTCCTGTGGGTCAGAAAACAATGGACACGGAAGAGCCTCTGGTTGCAGACTGTACAGATCAGGAAGAAGTTTATTTTGTTGTGCAGAAGTCTATACACTTCAGACACTTAGCAAGAAAGACCGCACTGTAGCAGAGGAGACTAGAGAGGCAGGGTCTGCAGTTCGGGATCGCAGGACAGAGGTTCCCTGGGGCCTCCCCGACACCTGTCCCTGGGTCTCTGTCCCTCTGTGACCTCTGACCTTCCGTCATGGATTCAGTGGAACACACCGGCTTTATTTTCTGAAGTTCTAAGGCAGCTTCCTGTGTGCTCATGGGGAGACAGAGCGTCTTCTTGGGTCTGATGGGCTTAGCAGCTCTAGAAATAACCAGGACGCAAGACCGGGCCGCAGCCGGGGGACACTCAAAGTTTAGGCACCTCTAAAAGTTCCCAGCGCTGAACCAGAACTAACTAGTCCTGGGCTGGAGGTGCTGGGGAGGGAGCCTGGGACTTCTCTGTCTCCTCCTCTGTGGAGGAGACACAGGTGCCCTCATGGATCCTGCCAGCCTCCCCGGAATATCCCCACCCAGAAGTCATGGGGGCTCCAACTCTCCCGTCAACCCCTGTTGTTAACCGGGCATGGTGTATACCCCTGTAATCCCAGTCCTTGGGAGGCTGAAGCAGGAGGATTGCTATGAGTTTGAGGCCAGCCTGGGCTACACAGTGAGTTCAAGGCCAGCCTGAACCATATGGTAATATACCCTGTCTCAAAAATACAAAAACAAAGCAAAACAAAACCATCCTGTTGTGCCCCTGCAGAGACCCAGACCTGGTCTACTTAGAGCCCAGAGCCGCTGTCCCCAGATGTCTGAGTTTGGAGAATTCCAGCCTCTCCTCTTTGTCTCCACCTTGCCTCTGGGATGGTGGCTGCTTCTTGCAGGTAAAATCTCCACCATCTCCACCCAGTATCACTGCTTCCCAAACTCTCTGACTGCTGGAGCACTGAATTCCTCTGTTAACATAACTGGGCCAGCCTCTTTCTCTCTCTCTCTCTCCCTCTCTCTTTCTCTCTCAAATTGGTTGATATACTAAGTAATTCTAACCTTAACTGACTTTGAAAATAAATCAAAGGAGCCATGTAAAAATGAAGAGAATGCATTCCAATGGCAGAGACATAACTGGAAAGCCAGAGCTAAGCAACGGCAAGTAATGAAAAGAATGAAGTGAGCATAAAGATTCAGAAATACAATGTTGGAAAATAACCCTTGGAAATCAAATAATTAAACACCAAGTAACATAAACTAACTAATAAATAGATGAATGAAAAAATTCCAGACTCTAAAATAACGGAATTAAAAACTCTGTGGCCATGAGCAACTCTAAAACGAAGTAACTCAGGAGAGTCTGAGGCGACTAAGAACGTGTCACTCTAAAAATAGATAACTCAAAATCTTTCAGTGAGTTTCAGTCAAGTAGCTATAAAAATAAGTAACTCAAAAACTCCAAAAACCAAAACTCAGACATTAATAAAGATACATCATTAAAAGTAAGTAATTACAATCCAATTAATCTGAACTCTGTGGCTCAAAATAAAGTAACTTTAAATAACTGAAAAATGAAAACCAAACACAAATTTGCTGTGAAAATATGTTTGAAATGTAACTAAAAGTATAAAATAGAAACCCTAAAACAAGTGAAAAGGAATGAAGGTAAAATAAAAAATAGCTGAAAGTAACTAACATAAATTTTAAAATGTACAAATCTATAGCAACCGTGCGGAGCCACCATGGCGAGGGTCAGTGCTTGGCATTCTCTCGGGTGGGGAGAGGTGGCACACAGATGGCTCCCCTGCTGGCTGAGTGGGTCCCCAGGGACTTTGGCAGCAGTGAAGGCAACACTGATTGTCACTGTTCGGGGTGGGAAGGCAGGCATGGCATGGTGTGCCGCTGATACCTCCTGGGTAGAGGCCCGCGATGCCGCCACACATCTGACATCCCAGGATGCAGCGCCTGAAGTCAGGTGCCGTGAGTCCTTGGGCGTGAACTGGGGGCACATCCATGGCCGAGCTACGGCCTCTTGCCTTGAGGAATAAGAGTGTAATCACAGTACCACGGCAGCCTCTCTCTCCCTAGGAGGCGGATGGTGTGCAGCCTGGCCAGCTTAGAGCAATGCATGGCGCCGAAGGTCAGTCCTCTGGAAAGGGGACGCTGGGTGGCGCCGTGGGTGGCTGGATGCCTGCGTGCTCCTCTTCCACGCTGCTCAGCGCCCTGAAACACCAGCAAGGTCGGAGCAGGCCAGGCCAACACAGCCGGCAGCGCTTCCTTCCCCACCCCAGCTCACCTTTCCTGCTCATCACGGTCTCTTCCTGTCTCCAGGGTTCCAGCCGTTTCACAGCTATCGTCCAACTGGAAGAGTCCGGAGAGCTGTGAGGGGAAGAGGGGACACTGTTCATAGCCAGCGGTGGTGGGGGTGGTGGGGGTGGTGGGGTCCCACCTGAGCCAGGCCCCCTGGATGACCCCAGGTCCTCCCTCCCTCCTCCCATCGTGACCAGTAGGCAGTGCATGGCCGAGGTGACAGGGATGCGGGGACCGGGAGGGCTGGGGTCAGGGGACGCCACCCTGAAGGGTCAGGCCAGGGCCTCATGGGGGGCTCATGAGAGGAGTGGGCGATGGAGGACAGGGCCAGGCTGGGATGGGGTCGAGGGTGAGTTACACTCAGCGCGCTGCTGTCCCTTTCCAGGGCTTCTGCGCCATCGCCGCCTTCCCGAGCTGCGGTCGGGGTGACCTCCGGGCTGCAGCCGCCTGGGAGACAAAAGGGCGGGCTGGGCGCTCCTGCTGATCGGGGGCCGCAGCGCCACCTGCCGGGAGCCCGGGGAGCTGCGGGCTCTGCGGCCGCCTTAGCCAGAGCAGCCCGGGACCTGGCAGCCGCTCTGACCCCGCCGCCCAGCAGCTGGGTGACCCCGGGAAGCCACTTGGCCTCTCTGGGCATCTTTCCTTGTCTCTCAAATGGGGACACTAAGATCTATTTCGCAGTGTCGGTGTGAGGATTAGCGCGAGCTCGGCCTATCTACCCTGGGCTCCTCATAATCACAGGGGTCATACACGGCTCTAAACCAAGACACAGACGCTGGGTGTGGGGCGCACGCCTGCAACCCCAGTGTTCAGGAGGCTGAGGCAGGAGGATCCTTAGGAGTTTGAGACCAGCCTGGGTTACACAGTGAGCTCAAGTCCAGCCTGAACCGCATAGCGACACCCTATCTCAGACAGACAAAAAATTTAAAAAAAAATTAAGAAAAAACAAACAGAAGGGAAACATACCTGGAAAAACCAAAGCAAACTCACGGGGACCTGGACAAATATTTAACTGGATTACAGCAAAATAAGAAAAAAAGAAAGAAAAAGAAAGAAAGAAAACAACAGGTATGTGGCCCACACGCGCGAGGACGCGGCCTGGGGCAGGTGTCCCCGAGGGCCCGGGTGCGCTTAGGAGTGTGGATAGCAAACACTGTCGGTGGGGAAGGCAGAAAAAGAGTGGGTTCAGCAGCGATCTTCTCCTCCGAGCTCACATCACCAGCGTCTTGCGTGGTTTAGGAGACCTGGTTTAGCATTTGATGTAGAAGTTCTAAGAATTCTAGGGTTTTATTTTGCTTGGATGAGTCGAATATCTTCAGAATAGAGGGTTTTTGTTTTTGTTTTTGTTTTTGTTTTTGGTAAATGACTGATTTGGAAGACAAGGTCGTGGCTTTTTCACTGCTGTCCAGTGGCTGGTGCAATGGATCTGCTGTAGTTTTTTTTTTTTTTTTTTTTTTTTTTTTGGTACTGGAACTTGAACTCAGGACCTCATGCTTGCCAGGCAGGTGCTGTGCCACTAGCTCCATCCCTGGGCCTCTGCTGTGGATGTTGCTAGTTCCTGGCAGATTTTACACTGGCAGGCTGTTTCCCTTTCAAATTAGATTTTCCTCTATTCTTTGTAACCAGTTGAGGACCATCTCACTGAATGAAATGAGTTGCATCATTTTCACTCAGAGACTTGGGCCCTGAAGCAGTGCACCCCCCTGGGTTCTCCTTCCCTTCCCTTGGCGCCAGGCAGCAGCTCATCCAGGGCTGGGGACTGTATGTAACAAGATGCAGGCACTGGCCCGGGAATTTCCTCTCCAAGAGAAGACTGTATGTTATGACTCCATTGCACAAAACGGGACAAAAGGGCTTGAACCCAAAGAGGCACAGCTGCTCATGCCCAGAGGAAGAAAGCTGGGTTGAAGCCTGGATCCATGAGACTTCAGAGTCCCAGCCCTTCTCCGGGCCTGGGCCTGTGCTGCTGACCTGGCCGTTCTGTGCACCACCTTGGGGACACTTTCGGCCTGGTCATCCCCGCAGCCAAGATTCAATCCCAGGGAGTGTCAGCACATTCTGGGGGCTTCCAGGATGGAGAGGATGCTTTCGTTTGGGTTCCAGAGCATCAGCTTGGCTGCTGAGGCTGGTTTACTACAGAGGGTGCCTACTTTATTTGCAAACTGTCTTAGATAAGAGGAGGAAGCAGGACATTCTTTGTTTAGTCTTTTCTTTTTTTTTCTTTTTGGTACCGGAGATCAAACTGAGGATCAAACTCACAACCTTGTGCTTGCCAGGCAGGAGTTTATGCTACTGAGCTAAACCCCCAGATCTCCCACTTTTTAAATTTTTTTTTTTTTTGAGACAGGGTCTTGCTGTACAGTTCAGGCTGGTCTTGAGCTTGCAATGATCCTTCTGCCTCAACCTCCTGAGCATTGAGATTACAGATGTGCACCACCATGCCTGGCTCTGTTGCTTTCAAAGGCTTCTGAGGCCACCTTTTATGACCCAGGGGATTGGCTGTGCTGCCCGGTGGCCAGGCTGCAGCCTTGATTTCTGCCAGGCCTGGGTCCTGGTCCTGTGTCCTACCTAGGGCGAAACCCCCATGATGCTGCCAGCCCCATGCTTCCCCATAGCCTCGCTCTAGCCTTTAGTAATAGATGGTCAGGCCATACAGGGAGGCCGTAAGTGGCTGAGATACACAGGGCCGTGCCACAGCATCCATCCAGGCCACCCTGTCCACCTCTCTCCTTGGGGAGGTAGTGCTGTGTCCCACTTTTCTGTTACTTCCTGGTTCCCCCCAAACCCTAGCTGACCCTGTCAGACCCTCTGGGTGCCCCACCCGCTTCTGTCTCCATGTTCATCCTGGGCTTCTGGTGTCCTTCTCACACTCGTCCTGTCCCTATAGGGCACTTGGCCAGAGCACAGAGTATCACACCCAACAACCCCCTTGGAGGGGAAGGTGGAGGAGGACGGTGTAGGCATAAACTGGGGTGGAAATATTTACATGTCACAGCTTTGTAAAGCGCTGGACAGATGTCACATGCGGGTGTCCCTGACATTCCTGATCTTAGAGACTTGGGCACCCCCCCCTCCATTTCCTGGACACCCCGAGCCTCACTCTAGGGGCTCATGGGTCTCCCCAGGGTGCTGGCTCCCACTTGCTCCCCAGTCCATGGCAGGCCGCTCCCAGTCCTCGGAGCCCTCACTGTTTGCATCATTTATGGTGACGTTTCCCTCAGATCCTGCTTGGGGCCCCCGGCTCAGGAGACTCAGTTGTGCTGAGATAAATTTGTGTGGAATTGACCGTCTGCGAGGATCTGTGAGCGGAAAGGGGAGGGGTGCCTCCGGTCTCTCTTCCTGTTTGGTAGGGCTGTGCTTTGAATCCAAACTGTGGGCTGCAGTCTGGCTCCGCTTCTTATCTAGATTTGGCATTCCTCTCGCAAGCTCGACGCACGGTGCTAGGGGTGAGGAGGGCTTGAGCAGTGTGCGTCTGAGGCGTTAGCTGAATGCCTCCCAACAAACTTTATGGTTCAGGCCAGGGAGATTCAGTTAAAATTTAAATTGTACATTTAAATTTTCCTTGGTCTTTTTAATTTTTTTTTGAGAGGGTCTTATTAGGTAGTTCAGGGTGGTCTTGAACTCACTTTGTAGCCCAGGTTGCCTCAAACTTGTGGTGGTCCTCCTGCCTCAGCTTCTCAAGTGCTGGGATAACAGGTATGCACCACCATTCCCAGCTTTTTTTGGTGCTAGGAATTGAATTCAGGATCTTATGCTTGCCAGGCAGGTTCTATGCCACTGAGCTCTATCCCTGGCAAGCTTTCATACGTTTAAAGTTGGGTCGTATTAAAATCACTAGGGCCAGGGATTTAGCTCAGAAGCATAAGCACCTGCTTTGCAAGCATGTGGTCGTGAGTTTGATCCCTGGTACCGATAATAAAAAAAAGAAAAGAAAAGAAAAAAGTTAAAATCATTTGCACCTCAAAAGTTTCTTTCAAGGGAATGAAAAGATAGGCCAAACAGTGCAAGAAAATCCTCACAAAGCATTTGCCTGATAAAGAATACACACCTAGGAGATACTTTTTTTAAAAAAATACTTTCAAAACTTAATAATAAGGGAACAATGAATAAAAGATTTGAATGGTCACTTCATCGGAGAAGACACACAGATGGGAGAGAAGCCCGTGCTTATGAAGGAAAAGCAAATGAAGATCTGGATGGCCGTCACTGTCCTCTAACCAGAAGGCTGACAATTAAAAGGACCAGCAAGGCCAAATTCTGCCCTCACACACTGCGGTGGGAATAAGATGGCCTAGCCATTTTGGAAAATACCATCTCGTAAAAGGTCAAGACACATGCCTGTTGTGTGTCCTGACCGTTCCACTCCTAGGCATTTACCCATGAAGATGAAAACACACATCCATACAAAGATTGCACTTAAATGTTCTCAGCTCTCTTATACAAAATAAGCAAAAATGGAAGCAAAGTAACTACTCATAACAAGCAGATGGATGGAGGCTGGGGATTTAGCTCAGCGGCATAAGCACCTGCCTTGCAAGCGCATGGTTGTGAGTTCAATACCAGATACCAATTAAAAAAAAAAAAACAAAACAAAACGAAACAAAAAAAAAAAAAAAACCAAGCAGATGGATGAAGAAGTTGGGGTGTAACCAAGTGGCAGGATGCTACTTGGTGATGGAAAGGAATGTACTTTTGTCATACAAGGCGACCTAGATGAATCTCAGCATGGTTACCCTGAGTGATAGAACCAAGATTCAGAAATAGATATGCATACAGTGATACTCCGCAGAATTCTAGAGAACGGAAGCTAATTTACGGAGACAGGAAGTGGCTCTGTGGGTAGGAGAGGGAGGGGTAGGAGAGTGGCTGGGTGAATGGCAGGAGAGGACTGCTGGGGTGACAGACTGGCCAGCTCTGGGCTGTGGTGGTATTTGCACACTTGTGTGCAGGTATTAAAGGAGCTGGAGGACGTGTGAGGACCTGGGTTTGATCCCCAGACTGCTCCCCCCACCACGCACACGCACCTGTTATGAAAACAGACACTTAAATATATGTATCTTATTTTAAATATATGCATCTTATTTTGTCTTTCTACTTCAATAAAGCTGTTTAAAAAGTGGTAATGTAGCCAGGGATATGCTCCGTGGCACAGTGCCTGCCTGGCAAGTGTGAGGTCCTGATAACCCTCCACTCCAAACTGTAATATAAGTTCCCTGTCTAGAAAATTTAATAAGCCCCAAATCCATGTCCTAGCTCCGTTAATGCCGTGGTTCTGGAGTGGGACCTGGGTCTCCGTCTGTAGGGAGCCCTTCCAGTCATTCCCGTCCCTAAGCCACACTTACAGAAACACGGTTACGGGGAGGAAGGGATTCTAGGACAATTTTGTGACCAAATGTCAGTCCTGGGGGAAAACAAGTGACTTTCTCTGCTGGAGATGCTGTTTCTCTGTGACCATCGCCGATTTCGCACACTACCTGTTTTTCTTTTTCACAGTGTTAATAGTGAGAATCAGAAGTCAGTCAGTCTCTCCCATTCTTCCTTGACAGATGAAAATCAACCAGACAGTCTCACTACTCTGACCTGGAAGAGGCCTACAGTTTAAATCAAAAACTTTCACCTCTTGGTTACTGCGACAGAAAACTGGTGCTGCTGTTTCCCAGTCATGCTTCTTAGCTTTCCTTCTGTCAGTTTGAAAGAGGCGGAAAACCCAGAGTCGCCCCCATCTCCACCAAACCCACTGTCACATCCTCTGGACCAGCTGATAGCAGAAGAGATACAGAGAAAGTGTTTCCCAAGGCAAAATTTCTCTTTTCAACATTGTACACTGTTTCTTACCAACGCACAAATCATTGACCACATAAATAACAGCAGACAGGCTCTCACGTGAGACTGGCATTCCCTACCCTGGTGACACTGCCTGCAGGGAACTTGGCATGAATTTTCCCACCAAATATCCCTGCTGCTATGAGGATTGATAAAAACAAAAACAAAAACACACCCAAAAGAACAAAAAATTAAATGTAAAAGGCAAAATCTTATACAGGGTGATTTTCAGTTATTAAAAGTGAAGTACATTAATGGAAATGGTGGAGAAAAAGCCACATTAAAAAATCTTTTTTTCCATCAAAGCATGGAAAAAACTGGGAAAACTGTCAGAAACAATTTTTTTTCCTCCTCAAAAACTGGAAATTAAAGGCATACAGCAATCTGGACAGCATTTATTTACTGTCAGGATGAGCAGTGAGTTTTGTGGAACCCTAACTTGTTCCTGCCTTCCCTGCCTTTTGGGGGGCAGCCTTGGGAGCTAGCGGTCTATGACGGTGGTGAGACCAGCCAGAAAGAACAAATTCAAAGCGCAGCAAAGATATAACTGCATGGTATTGGAGGAAAGCCTGGTTGCTAATCTTCACAGCCTTGGATGAGGTGACTTTTTGGGATACTCAAAACACAGGAAACCAAAAGGAAAAATAGACAAATTAAACTTTGTCACAATCAAAAACTTTCGAGCTTCAAAGGACAGTATCAAAAAAATAAAAACAAAAGCACCCAATGGGGAAAAATACTTGCAAATTATATTTGACAAAGAGTTGTACTATTTAGAATATATCAATAACCCTTGCAAGTCAATCATAAAAGACATATTAATTTATGTAAGTGGACCAACACCTGTGACAATTGTAATTATTATGTCCTACAAACATGTACTAATAAAAATTTTTTTAAATGCAAAGGACACAGACGTTTTCCTGGCTGTGAAAAGACACTCGACAGGGCTGGTCCTGAGGGAACTGTGAGCCAGTGCTGCTGGGGGTGCTGCTTCATGCTGCCGAGGGGGTGCTAAATAATATTAGTGACAGACACTAACGGGTCTTAGCGAGGATGTAGACAGGTTGGGACCTGCATGCACCGCTGACGTGAATTTCAGACGGTGGCACTGCTTTGGAAAACAGTGTACAGAGATCTTCAGAACATGCACCAGAGTCACCGTGGGGTCCAGCCACGCTACGGAATACCCAGGACAATTAGGAATGGAGATTACCACAAAAAACTGTATGCAAATATCCATAGCATCTTTAGTTACAATGACCAAAAAATGCTCACAATCCATCAATGAATAAATACAGGCACTTTAACCTGAACACACCCTCTAGGGCTCCTGTGTTGGAAATCTGATGGCCAGTGCGGGAGGCCTGGCCCACGGGGCCACCGCACTCACATGTAAACTCATGGCCCTGTAACTGTGGCATCACAAGGGTGGGCTCCCGATCAGAGCACGAGTCCGGTGCCTTCTTGCTGGCCCTCACACATGCACCATGCTCTCCCTTGGCCTCTGTCCTCCTTCCCCTCCTCCCTCTGTTTTCTCTCCCATGGGACGATACAGAGAGGACCCTCAGGAGACGTAGCCCCTGACCTTGGGCTTCCCAGGGCTGGAGCTATGAGCCACTATATTTCTCTGCTTTATAAGCCACCCAGCCTGTGGCGTTTTGCTCTAGCAGCAGGACCTAGATAGACTCAGACAATGACCCATCTGTACACTGAGGACTAATTTATCCATCGCCTCCTGACACCTGCAGAACATGGGTGAAATTCAAAAAATGATGCTCAGTGAAAGCATCTGATAGAAAGAATGTTTTCCCATATTCCATTGACATAAAATGTCTATAGAGTAAGGAAACTCAGCAGCGGCCAAAAGCAGAACAGTGGCCGCTAGAGAGGGGAGGGGAAGACCGCATTACTGCTAAGCCATGCAGGACTTTTTAGTCGGGGGAGAGCACATAATTGTTCCAGAGTTAGATCAGAGTCAGACTGGTGATGGTCACAGCTTTGTGACTAGGTGGAAACCCGTTGAGCTGTGTGCTGCAAGAGAGTGAATGTTGTATATCAGCTTATGGAAAGGAAATTCTGGGCATTTGTATCTCAAGTTAACATCTTCTGGGACGGCACTGGATTTCTGATTAAGAAGCTGCCCTTAGCCGGGCATGGTGGCTCACGCCTGTAATCCCAGCACTCCGGAGGCTGAGGTGGGAGGATCATTGCAAGTTCGAGACCAGCCTGGGCTACAAAGTGAGCTCAAGGCCAGCCTGAACTGCATATTGAGACCCCATCTCAAAAAAGACAAAAAAAAAAAAAAAAAAAAAGAAGCTGCCCTTAGCAATTAGTGTGTAAGGAATACAACTGGAAAGGTATACACCAACACAACCACACACACACACACAACACACACTCCATTTAAGACAGGCACAGATGTTTCCAGGGACTGTGAAAATGTGGACACAGTCATTTTCCCCAGCAAACCCTTCTCCAATGCACTGATGGACACACCCATCATGAAACCAGAACTAGGTAACCTTTCAGACTGAAGTCACCTACCTTTAACATTGTTTCGCTGTTCCACCAACAATCTACTTATTTCTGAAAACCAACAGTCTTTGATTTCTTTGGATGGCGCCTGCAATTACAGATCAAAAAATACTACTATGAGAATCGCATCACCCTGAGTATTAGCTGCCAGGGCTTTTCTTCTCTGGGTGACCTTCAGAGGAATGAGACAGAATTTCCTCGCCAAATGACAGGAAGGCAGCAGGGGACGAGGAGGGGACATCTGGGGGAGAGCGTGAGCCTCACCTGCAGGACATATTTCTCAAGTCCATTTTGGCTGGAGATTTCAAACTTCTTACTGCTCCCCCTTCCAAGCTGGTGAACCGAAAGTGTCGCCAGCTATGGGAAAGAAAGCGGAGAAAAACGCTCTGCGCCACCATTTTGGATGCTAGAATTTCTGCTGCCCTGATGGCTTCTGTCATCTTCTGCCAAGTGTCTTGCTTTCCTCTCTTAACAGCCCGAGGTGGCAGAAAACACAGCGTGACACAGCATTCCATGTGCTGCGTGTTTTGCAGGACTACACTTCCCTGCAGCCCAGTCATGAAGCTAAGAAACCGTCTCTTTTAACACCTGTTGTGCAAATCTCTAACAGTAAATGAGTGTCAATTATTGAGAAACATAAGCATACACAACTACAACTAAATCATTAGTCTTAATCACGAGTGTGTGTGTGTGCGTGTGTATGTGTGCGTGCGTGCGTGTGTACGCACGCGCAGGTATGTGTGTGTGTGTGTGTGTGTGTGTGTGTGTGTGTGTGTGTGTGTATGTTTGAGACAGCTTGCGGCTATGGAACATTTCCTACTCAGGCAAGAGACAGGTGGGGACCTGGGTTTGCGGAGGCCTAGGGAAGGGTCAGGATGCTGCCTATACCCACACACGATGACATGCGTTTGAATAAAACATTTAAAGAGCAAAATAAAAGACATGATAAGACCAGGGAAATGGATCTTTTGCAAACAGGAAGGGGATGGGGAGCGGGAGGGGGGAAGGGGAAGGAAAATGATGAGAGGTGCCGTGTGCACCAAGATGACGCCATCATTATGTCCGGCAAACATGGATGATTGACAATTTGAAAAGTTTAAATATAGGTGCTAAAAAAAGGTTAGAAAAGAGACAAGGAAGTGTCACTTAGGTCAGGGGGTGTGCAACTGAGAAGGGTAGGTCTAAGATGAAATCCAGCTTGGGCCTAACCACCAAACTCTATCCCCTCTGCCTGCAGGAAAGAGAGTCTCTAATTAGTTTGTCTAGATACCCTAATGTACGGTCACCAACGGGGCCCTGTGCGGGGCCTGGCTGCGGGCCTGAGTCTGGGTCACCCCAGCCTGGGCGCGTATTCTAGCTCTGTTGCGAAGTACTTGGCAGGTCACCTTCACTGAAATTTTGCAAATCGAAGATCTTGCAAAATAAAAATAACTATCTGCAAACTGTCGGCTGTCTTCAACTCCCAATGCTCCTGCCTCAGCCTCCGGAGTGCGGGTAGGGGGCGGTTACAGCTTTGCCCACCTTCATCACTACCTCCTGCCCAGAGGGTCGCGCACCGCAGCCCCTCACCTTCAGACACTTCTTAAAGCTGTAGCGAGGCGATGACCCTTCGTCGCCGGGCTCCCCGCGGATCTTGCAGAACACGATGCCCCGCTGGAACAGATAGATCTGCCTCTGGCTGGGCTTAAATCTCACCAAGTCCTTCACTTTGTGCCGCTCCCTGCTAACCGTCCACACGCCGAACGGGCCGTCCCTCAGCAGTGCGCCCAGCTTTTCGATGTCGTCCTTTTGGAAACACGGATCCATAAGAAAAAAGCTGGAAAGGCCCTGCTGGAGGAAGAGCCGAGCGGTCTGTCTGCAAACTGGGAAGCAGGCTTACTCGAGATTGTTCCACCAGCGCCACTTGGGCCACTCTGTCACTACATCAACACGGAGCGACCTCACTGATGACCGTGGTGCCATCGGGAAAGGAATCAGTTCGGGTCTGTGAGGGGTGCTAGGGCTGTACCCCAGCATGCTGGAGGCTGAGGCAGGAGGACTGGAGGCTGGAAGCCTGCCTTGGAAATTTCAATTTAGTGAGATTCCATCTCAGAGAAGCAAAACAGAATAAAACCAAAAAGAAGGCAAAGTGTTGGTACTCAGTATTTTTGCCTTTCTTTCTCCTTTTTAATTTTTGTGTGCTGCTTAGTTAGCAGAATTCTGTTCCCTCTTTTTTTTTTTTTGCAGTTGATCCCAGTCTATTTTATTTCATTTATTTTTTGATGGAAACAATGCCCTTTGATTATATGTATTTTATTTTTCCCAGCTAGTTTTTATCAGTACATTTTAGATATATAGAATCACATTCACTGTAGAGGACTGGTACCTGTACATGATAAAACTTGATTGTTTTCCTTCCTATTCCCCTGCCCTCCTTTTAGATCCTCCTTCCCTCCTTACTTACAAACCCTTTGTTTCCAGTTTTTCTTTCTTTCTCATTTTTGTACTTTTCTCTTCTTTCCTTTCCCACTCCCCCATCTTTGTTCTCCTCCCCATTTAAACATTTTCTTGCTATTTCACAAGACCTATTACACATTTTGGTTCTAATTTACATTTTTGGTTTCTACAGACAGTCACTTTTTTTTTGACAAGGCCTTGCTATGCAGTTCAGGCTGGCCTTGAGCTCACTTTGTAGCCCAGGCTGCTTTCAAACTTGTAGTAATCCTCCTGCCTCAGCCTCGTGAGCACTGGGATTACAGGTGTGAGCCACCATGCCCAGCTCAGACAGTCTATTTTAAAAAGCAAGGAATGAACTTTTAAAATTATGTTCAAGGGAGACAATTTTGGCTGCAATATAGACCAATGATAATCCATATTTCATCTGTATCCTAACATTGGCTTCAGGTACCTGAGAACTCGAGATTTGAAAGAGACAAGAGAGGTACAGCTAGTTTTTTATGGTGAGTGCAGAGTGAGAAAATAATCCCAAACAATGCCTTAAAAAAAAATCTTGTTGGTTCCAAACACGTATCAGCGTATCTCTGCCTGCACCAACCAGCCTGACCTCCAAGTGGGCTACAGCTGGGAGAGAGAGAGAGAGAGAGAGAGAGAGAGAGAGAGAGAGAGAGAGAGAGACAGAGAGAGAGAGAGAGAGAGAGAGAGAGAGACAGAGACAGAGAGACAGAGACAGAGACAGAGACAGAGAGAGACACGAGAGAGAGCCGGCTGGTTCCCTGCACGCTCCCGGGGCTGCAGTAGTGATGTGGCCTGGAGCACAGACTGTTATCTGATTCTCCTGACAAAAAAATTCCCTTAAAGCAAAGCAGATGGCCAAACATTTGCCTTCACATCACCCAGAGGAGAAAAAGCTATATGATTCTGAGAGTAAAATACCAGAAATTTGTACACGGTTTGTAACTGGTTATTTTGTGGCTTATTATCTAGATGTAGAACAAACTCACTGTCTTTGAGAAAGCGCTGAGTGTAGGTCTGAAATTCTGAAACGCAAACACCAGGAGTGTTTACCCCAGTGATCTCTGCAGTGCTTGGTGTCTACTTTCTGGGTTAATTTTCTCTTTTTGCTTTGTAAAATTCACCTGTGAAATCGAATGCACAGCTCCCAGTTTGGAGCTTTCTGCCCCTCAAGTGCAGGATTTCCTCTCTGTGGCTGGTGCTTAGTCTGATCCTGCTCCAAGGCAGAGGGCTGGGCGGCTCGGGAGCACCCTGAGGGTCTCACTCTGTCTGCCCTACAGGGATCCACTCCCACATCATCACCTCAGGCCTGGGCCATCACTTTCACATGGATTTATTTATGCTTCTGAGTCTGCCTTGCTATGTAGCCCAGGCTGGCCTCAAACTTGCAGAGATCCTCCTGTCTCAGCTTCCCCAGTGCTGGAATTACAGGCACGGGGCCACGCACACCCACTCGCCCATGGAGAGCATGGTGATGGCTGTAAGAAGGAATAGGAGTGACTGTCCCCGAGGACTGAGCGCCAGCACCCTCACTTCGTTCTTCAACAGGTGGATGAGGACATTCTAGGTAAGGCTGCTTGTAGGAACCACCTAGCAGTGGACATGTCCATTCCTAACGTGGCTTGCAGGGCAGTTCTAAGAACCCAGAGTGATGGGGCTGGAATGCAGGGGCAGACCCAGGGCCAGGTGCACCCCAGTCAGGGTGAGGGAGGTCCGTTAGATGTCGCCTTTCCAGGCTTCATCACCTCAGGGTGTCCAGCTGGCCCAGCCACAGGCAGAGCTGCTCACGCCCCAGCCAAGAGTGCAACCCAGAGAGGAGCCAGGCACTGACCAGGCCCTGAGTAAAAGCGACACTTCAGTGGCCACCGAAGACAGTAACCATGAGGCAGCCACTGGCAGGAGTGCGATGCTTTCTGAGCGGCAGGTTGTGAGTAAATGAGGAGTGGGGAGAGCTCTGAGAAGGGGTCCCCAGGAAAGGATGAGGAAGAGGAGAAGGCCCGGGGGAGGGAGGAGCCCGAGCACGGGGTAAGAGGAGGGCACGGCAGGCGTAAGGGCGAGTCTGGCACCCAGGGGTGGGGTACACAGGCAGGAGCCCTGAATCCCTGCCCAGGCCATAGTCCCAGAGCCACACAGATTTTACTGTGAGCAAGACCGGCAGCCCCTGAAGCCAGGAAGGGGTCCACAGAGGGAGCACAGCCCAACTGACGCCTTCTTGTTGGCCACCCAGCCTCAAAACTGCCAGAGAATGAATTTGTCTTCATTTATTTACTTTTTTTTTTGAGACAGGGTCTTACTATGCAGTTTAGCTGGCCTTGAACTCCCAGCAAGCCTCCTGCCTCAGCCTCCTAGTGCTGGGATTACAGGTGTGCACCGCCAGCACCTGGCTTTTGCATTGTTTGAAGTTACAGCAGCCCTAGAAAATGTGTACACTGCCAACCATTTTCCACGGGAGAACAAAGCGTGGCTCTGCCTCATGCACTGAAGAAACCCAGTGGGATGGAGTGACAAGGCTCACAGTCTCTGCCCTGGGGCAAAGGTGATGGCCAGATAAACCAGAAAGTACTCTGTCTCAGGCACCAGGATTTCTCAGGCAAGCACTTTGAAATGAGACTGTGGCTACAGTGTCAGAGGCCACAAAGAGACCTCCTCGGGTGCCTGAGCTTTCGTTCCTGGCAGTAACAGTGAATGTGATACAGTCTTTCTTGCCCAAAGAAGCAGGATCCACCTGGACAGATGAATCGACAGACAGATTGCGGCAGAAATGAAATTTGGAAGCTGTGGGCGCCAGTGACCCCCCCAGCCAGAGATGAAAGGGCAGACAGGGCCTTGGGCAGCTCAGCAGGGTCAGGCAGCATCTGCCAGGCACCTGCTGTGCCAGGTGCCTTCCCTGTGACTGGGTCCTCATCCCTGCCTGACAGCACCCTCCGGGGTAGGCATGGTGAGGGTGGGAAGATTGCAGGCAATCCACGGGATCACAAAGGTTGTTAACCTGTGTGTGGCACGGTTACACACGGGAGGGAAGGGGGAACTGAAATAGACACAAACAGCTGGTTTCGGACACAAAGAGCTTGTAGCCCTGATGGATTCACTGCTGAATTCTAAAGAAGACCTAATGCCACCATGTCCCGGACTCTAATGAAACTGAAAGGGAAGCAATACTCCGAAATCCATTCCTGGAAGCAAGAAATACCTTGACAGCAAAACCAAAGAAGGACCCAACCAAGAAAGAGAACTACAGGCCCATCTCTCTAATAAACATCAATGCAAAAATCCTCTGTGAGATGCTGGCAAACAAAATGGAGCAAACCATCAAGGAGATTGTACATCATGACCAAGCAGGATTCATCCCAGGATGCAGGGATGGTTCAACATATGCAAATCAATAAATGTCATGTAGTATATTAACAGAGCCAAGGACAAAGACTATACAATTATCTCAATAGATGCAGGAAAAGCATTTGACACAGTCCAACACCCATTCATGATAACAACCCTGTAGGCAATTGGAGTAGATGACCTTTATTGCAATCTGCTAAAAGCCATCTGTGACCAACCAATAGCCAGCATCATACTAAATAGATGAAAACTAAAAACTATCTCTCTGAAATTAGGAACAAGACAAGGATGTCCACTGTCTCCACTCTTATTCAACACAGTCCTGGAAACTTTACCCAGAGCAAATTAGTCAACAGAAAGAACTAAAAGGCATAAAGATAGGAAAGGAAGAAGTTAAACTATTGTTTTTTGCAGGTAACATGATACTCTACTTAGAAGACTCCAAAAACTCCATCAAAGGACAACTAGATTTAATAATCTAGTACGTGAATAACAAACTCACTGAGAGAAAAATCAGGGAAACAACACCTTTCACAATAGCATCCAAAAAATAAAATACTTAGGAATCAATCTAACAAAGGATGTGAAAGACCTCTACATTAAAAAATATAGTACTCTGAAAAGGGAGATTGAAGAGAATATTAGAAAATGGAGAGATATCCCATGCTCTTGGGTAGGAAGAACCAATATAATGTAAATGGCCATATTTTCAAAACTGTTGTACAGATTCAGTGCAATCCCAATCAAAATTCCAATAGCATGTCTCACAGAATTAAAGAAAACAGTCCTAAAATTCATCTGGAATCAGAAGAGACCTAGAATAGCAAAGGCAGTCCTGGGCAACAAAGACAGGGGGCACTGCAATCCCTGACTTGAAATTATACTATAAAGCTAAATACAATGGTGAAAAAAAGCATGGTACTGGCAAAAGAAAACGAAACAAAACAAAACCAGACCCAAAGATCCATGGAACAGATTAGAAGATGCAGAAACAGCTGCAGACACACTAGGCCACCTTATCTTTGACAAAGGTGCTAAATACATTCATTGGAAGAGAGACAGCCTCTTCAATAAATGGTGCTGGAAAAACTGGTTGTACACATGCCAAAGATTAAAACTGGACCCGTATCTTTCACCGTGCAATAAACTAAATTCAGAATGCATCAATGATCTGAATATTAAAACAGAAACATCAACTCTGCTGGAAGATAGAGTAGGCTTGTGGAAGACTCCAAATTTGTAGTGACTTGTTATGACAGTGACAGGAACAAACACAGCTGAGTCAAAATCTGTAGGATGTCAAAGTGAAAAATAGCTGTCATCCAGTATTAACCATGGTCCCCACCCCAGAAAGATCAGACACTTAGGAGAAAAATTTGCTAGGAATGCCTGGGACCTGGCTGCTCGCCTCAGTCACTCACGGGCTTTCCCTGGCTCCCCGATTACATCTCTTGTGGGCTCTGTGATGTAAAATGAGTCTAGAGACTCTTAGGACGCATTTTCAGACTACTTTCCATGTTAGGCTGGGGCTGTAGCTGAGTGTAGAGGAGCCCATGGGTCTGATTTCCTGCATCACACACACACACACACACACACACACACACACACACACACACACACAGCGAAACAAAAGACTTGCACAGAGAAACCCTAAGGCAAGACGGAGATCTTTTAACGTTTTCATAGTAGCCCTGTAACAGGAGTGAATGAAACAGCAGTTAGGATTCTGTGGACACTATCGGGTGTCCTTTTACTGTCAGGGGTCCCCTGCCCCGTCAAGAGCATGTGATCAGGTGGGCACTGGCTCAGGGGCACATGGGCCTTGCCACACTGACCGCTGCATAGGCTGAACCCTAAAGAATCAGTCTCCTGTAGGGGTGAGAACCTCTGGACAGATGGGTGTCCTGATGTCCTGCTGGGCCCTCCTGGCTGTGGAAGCTCCTATTCCTTCCCTGCATGCTCTCTTCTGTCTGCAGTTTCATTTCTCATCACCCCAGGACACGACCTTGGCACCCCGGGGTCGTATCTGGGGCTCATCCAGGAGTCCACGAGGTGGTCGTGGCTTTCACTTGGTGGCTTTCTGCTCCAAGCTACTGACGCTCGTCAACCATTTAAAAGTGATGACTCGTTCACCTGTCTCAAAGACTCAGGGAACAGGTTTCAGGGGTGCAGGCTGAGCTGATTGCCCACTCTCTCGCAGTTTTCCTTTCCTGATGAGCTGAGCCGAGAGGTAAGAGAGGCCCTATGTTCTGTTGTGTCATTTTAATTGTCTGGTTGCTGTCTTGTGACAGGTGAAAGCCATCAGGGCATCCACTGCCTCAAAGGCTGCCAGAAGAGGATCATTCAGTCCGGGATGTGGGCTCCACTGGGCTCAAGACGACCCCCATGCGTCTTCCAGGTTTACATTTTATGTTGATATACAACAGGCTGACATACCTTTGTTACACAACCCTTTCCTGCATTCTAGGTGTTTCAGTACCAGGGAAGGAGCTCACCGCCTCGCTCCTGCCAGGCAGGTGCTTATGCTGCTGAGCTAAATCCCCGGCCCTCCTAAATGTTCTCCGATGGCTGCTTCTATGTTTTGGGGGTGGGGGTGAGGTGGTTGGGTGGGGGCGTCTTGCCTATAATCCTGTGTCTCCCCTCTGAGTTTACCTCCTCCCTCCATTCCTGCCGCTAACTGCTTTCCTGTCCTCTTGGAGGACCCAGGAACTGGGGCTTTTAGGCAAAGGCCACCGTGCTTTTTATCTGAGCTTCTGTAAGCGCCTCAGAAAGCTGGATGCTGGATGAGAACAGCAGCTCCTAAACAATACATAAAGTGCTGGAGGTTTAGCTCAGCAGCACAAGTGCCTGCCTGGCAAGTGTGAGGTTCTGAGTTCAATCCCCGGAACCAAAACGAACACACAATACATAAAGTAGCAGGGGTACCTGCAACAACCTTTGAGAAGTTTTTTTTTTTTTTTTTTGGTCTTTTTCGTTTTTTATCGGTACCAGGGATCAAACTCACGACCGTGCACTTGCAAGGCAGGCGCTTATGCCGCTGAGCTAAATCCCCAGCCCCCAAACCTTTGAGAAGTTAACAAGAGCCCATGGGGGCTCATCTTGGCTGATTGATAAATTTACTTTTGAATTACAATTTCAATGGATATTTTTCTCTAATTGGCATGCACAAAATATTACTTGTACATTGGGATAGTTCTGTCTCTGTCTCTGTCTCTGTCTTGAAGCAGAGTTCCACTAGTTCAGGCTGGCCTTGATCTCACTTTGTAGCCTAGGCTGGCTTCCAACTCACAGTGATCCTCCTGTCTCAGCCTCCTGAGTGCTGGGATCAGAGGTGTGCACCACCATACATGGCCATGGAGTAGTTCTTAAACTGCAGTTACGGGGTTAACTTCTCTTCTTCTGCTTTCTACTTGGGCTGAGATAAGGATGTTATTCAAGTTCTCTTTGATGCCTTTTGGTAAATAGCCCTACATTCATTCTGAGATCCCCTCAAAAAAAAAAAAAAAAGAAAAAGGCTACTAGGGGCATTTAAAAATCCAATCAGCTACTAAGCTTGTTACAAAACAAAACACCAATAAATAAGACAGAGAAAAAATATTTAACAGTTACAAATACAAAGATGTGTTTTTTTGGTATGAGAAAATTTTATGTCATAGGATTCTGCCTGACCAAGATGGAAAAAAGAAAAGATAGTAGCAAATCTCCACTTCGAGCTGGGGTTTGAGGCCACCTTGGGACCACCCCCAAATGCTAACACTATTATTCTTCCTGGTCTCACGGCTGCCCAGACCCTGCCCCACTTTAGCCCTGACTGCGCTTCCACACAGCAGAGTCTCATGGTCTTCAGTTTTACCCACAGAGACATTTCTGTCTTACTTGGGTGAAAAGAAAAAGGTCCAACCTCTGGTCACAAAGGAAGGGTTTCAGAGACACAGCACCAAGAGCTCGCTGCTCAGTGACCGACTCTACAGCCTCACCCCCTCTTGTTGGAGTTGGCATCACTAACAGCCAGGGCCTCTCAGGTGCCCACAACACACCGAGGCTGGAAAATGCTTCAACAAAAAAATCCAAAAGTGTCTTCTCTCCCTTCGATATTTTTCAGAATATCAAAAGCTCAGTCTTAGCTCCCATCACCGCTGTAAAAGGCATCCTCAAAACAGGCTCCTTTGCCCTGAGTGAAAAAATACTCCCTAAGACGAAACTACTAGGCCGTGAGCCAGGTCACATTCCTCCCTTCTCCTCCCCTCCCCTCTCTTCTTCTCCTCTCCTCTCTTTTTTGAAATGGGAATCTCACAAGGCCAGTTCAGGCTGGCCTTGAACTCACAGCAATCCTCCTGCCTCAGCCTCCAAAGTGCTGGGATTCCAGATGTGTGCCATCACGTCCAGCACAGTTCTACTTCTTAAGACTTCTTATTGCTTCTCTAACTTTATTGACACAGACCTATACTGGGGTCCCTCAGACTCTGTATCTATAGTGTCTCTTTCTAGTTCATATAAAATTACAGTCAAGAGATAAGAGGCCTCTATTAGCTGCACCCACCTGGGGTAAAGAAAATACACAAAGTGACAGATACTACTAATACCCCAGCTTCTCTTAGTCCTCTTTCTGATAGGAAAAGGAAATATTATAACCATTCAAAAGCATAGACAAGATCCATGTTAAGACTAAATAAGACCAATCCTCACACCAGGATTATCCTTTCTGTCTCCTAAGGAGAGAGGGGTACACTGCCGCGGGCACCCCCACCCTGAGCCCAGTTTGACCAGTCCACTTTCCCAGTGTCCAGATCCCTGATTCGAGCTCCCTCCCAAGCAGTGGCATCCCTCCCTCCAGAGCCATCTCCATGCCGGGTCCCACGAATCTCCTCGCTTGCTTTATTTCCGCTCACCCAGTCTGTTAAACTCTGGAGAGTCATGCAAACAAAACCACTGCAAAGACACCCCCCATTCAATTGCGGGCATCAGCTGAGCCCTTCCTGTCACCCCTATGTGACACAAAGCAACCACATCAGCGCTGTTTCCCCAATGGCGGTGAGGATTGCCTTGGGCGGGGTGGGGGGGTAATCACAAAAATGAATGAAACTCAGGCTAAGATTCTATCAGGCGATCAGAACAGCAGGCTCCAAAGCCCCAAATAGAGTTTGCTTTTTGGAGTCACAAAACCCAAAATAGAGTCCGGTGAGTCTCGACCCTCCAGGGATCATCAGCTGGAGTCCTCTGGCCACCAGGAACCTCCCCAGAGCACACTCAGACAGGCCACTGGCCTGAGGGCTCACAGGTCCTACAGGGACATTGCACACATGCTGCATAGATCAGACCCTGACACACATCCAGCATCCTGCCGGGCAGAGATTGTGCTGCTTACACACAGCCCGATCTGCTTTCGAAACCCTTAAAAACTCCTGGATGAAGGGCCTTCCTGGATATCTGCTCGGGCCCCCTGCTGGCTCATAGGAGCTCTGGTCCTTACCTCTGTGCCTTTCAGGAAGTCTGCCTGTGCCCCACCTCCTCCGTCTGCAGTGTCATCCTTTGTCTTTGTGACATATAACTGGGAGTTCCAGCAGCAGCATGGGTTAGAAAGTGAACTGCTCTGTCAGACTTTGCCCTCTATCCAAGTGGCAGCTCCTGGGTTTCTGGTTGGTTAGAGCGTGAGTCAGCCTGACCGAGAGGTCCCCAGGCCCCTGATCACCCCCAGGGGTGGAGCAGTGTTTTGGAAGATGACCGGGCAGACTAACAGTCTCTGCCCCATGTCCAGTACCGAGTCTAACTGTGGTGGTGTCCCCTATCTCTGTAATTCTGCGCCTGCCTTTGACATGAAACCTTCCCACAGTGACTAGGAAACGCACCGGACATCCGGATACTGCGGCGAGGTCCACGGCCAGTTCACAAGACTTGATCAGATCCTCTATAACAGCCAAAGCCTGGCTGAGTTCGGCTGAGCATGTGGAATCCTTGGTCTTCTTTGGCGCATCCTGTGGAAAGCAAATGCCTCGTTGGAAATAGAAAGAGTGTCCTCTGCCAAGCAAAGCCGGAAAACGGGAGAGAGCCAAGGAGCCCAGGCCCCGCTGGCACTGAGTGGAAGGTGGGTGTGTGGCCCCAGATGGTGGCCACAGTGCGTGGCCCCTGCAGTGACAAGCAAACTCAGGGGCACAGCGCTAAGGAAGAGTGAGGCTCGGAAACCCATGACACGACCTTCCTGCTGTACAGGGAAAACAGACAGATGGGGGCTGCATCAGAATCTGAAAATAACTGGTCTCTTTAAGTCACTTCTGCCCTTCTACCCTTTCTACCTCCTCAGCTTCCCCAAAAGGACAATCTAGGTGTCTACGCCTCTTTCTGAGGATGTTTGTCACTGCCTAGAGGCAAGGGGTGAGCCACCTTGCTGAGGGTGACTGAAGACTTTGGGGTCAAAGCCATAAATGGTGACATTAGCCCCTCTTGCCCATCACTATTAAAGATGCTGAACTCATTTGCCAGTGTCACCAGTATCCCTACACCCAGAGGCCGGACAGACTGACTGATAATCACTGCCAATTACTGGGACTGGAGTGCCAGTGATTATCACGGTGACACTCAGGACGGATGTGGCATGCTGAGCATTTCAGCTCAAAGGCTTTTTGCTTGATGTTTGGGTATTTAATCCCCTGTGCTACCTAGGTGGTGTATTATCAGTTACATGGTAAATAAGAGCAAAATGAGTAGCTGGGCATGGTGGTGCCTGCCTATGATCTCAAAACTTTAGAGGCTGAGGCAGGATGATGGTCACAAGTTTGAGGCTGACCTGGACTACATAGTGAGTTAAGGCGCAACCTATAGTATACAGTGAGAACCTGTCTCAAAAAAGCAAACAACAACAATAATAATAAAAATAAAGATACATAAATAAGAAAAAGTGATTCTGGCCAGTCTGTGTAATTTTTTTAACCCTTCAATTTCACAATCAAGAACAGAAAGCTGTTTGTTTTCTGCTTCCAGGTAGGTATAGCTTTTTTCTGTCCCCTACTGCATGATATAGTAAAAGGCAGTCTTTCTTTTTTTTGAGACAGGGTCTTGTGTAGTGCAGGCTGGTCTTGAACTTGCAGCAATCCTCCTGCCTGAGACTCCCAAGTGCAGGGATTACAGGCATGTACAACCCCAGCCCCACTGGGTGTGGGCATCTTTGTGTCAGAGACAGTGCTCATGAAGGGAACAGAGCAAGCTCCTCCCCATACGGTGTGCCGTAAACTCTTATTACACATGCTCCAGCTCCTGGTGACAGACAGCAGCCTGACCCCTGGGTTTACTTGAACATCAGTGAGCAAGCGATTTCCTCCTTCTCGACACTTTCCTGGCCTCTGCCAGCCTTCTGATCACCAGCACCCAGGCAGCTGGTTTCCCTTGGTGTAGGGGAGGGATGGGAAAAATCCTGATGTGCTGTATTAAAGCCTTTTAACCCCAGGCCTGCTCTTCCTTGTTGCTGGCCCTAAAATTATTACTTCTACCTTGAATATCTTCTATTTTCTAAGGTGGAGCTACAAAGAAAACAGACACCTCACATTACCCTGCTGTGCAGGAAAACCACAGTAGAGACCCTAGGTATTCACTTCTAATCTTTTATGGTTGCATTTGACACATCCATCGATTTCTTTCTTGTGCTGGGGATCAAACCCAGGGCCTGTAACACAGCCAGGCAAGAGCTCTACCACTGAGCCACATCCCCCCCATCTGCTTACCTTCCAGTTCTCATTAAAACTTCTGTTTAGAAATTTAACTAAGAGACTCAGCAGCTAGCCAGGATCTTTACTTTGTAAATATCCTCAGCTTATGCAAGGTGGAGGGTACAGAGGTCGGTGAGTGTTGCACCTGCCTGGGGTGGGGGGTGGCCTGCTTACAGCATAAGGGAGGAAGAGCGCTTGCTTTTGCCCCTCTTTTTGTTTTGCCTGCTTTTCCTGGCTGCTGCCTGGAAGTGCCACCTCAGAGCCGTACCACCCTGCCTTGGAGTCAGCTGATGACGGACTGAAACCTCCACAAACAGTGAGCTAAATAAACCTTTCCTTCCTTCATTTTTGGCGATGGGTATTTTGTCCCAGCAAGGAGAGAAAAGTAACCAAGACAACTTCCTTAGTTGGAAGGAAGGAAATATCTTACCACTTCTCAGTGAGTTGCAGAGCCCTACTTCAAAATTCTATATATTTTTTTTGGTGACTATAGATTATAGAACATGTACTGTTTTAGAAAGTTTAGACAATAAAGATCGTAAGCAAGGAGAATGAAATTGCTGTAAATCCTCCCACCCATCGGTAAACGCCATCAACAGTCCACTCTGTAACATGTGATATTAATACCCAGTACCTGAGGGAAGCTTCCTCCTGGGTCACCTGGATCCACCTTTGCATCTGCAGGAGACTCCAAGTCCAGCAGACCCTGCAGTAACCCAAGAGCCTTGCTGAAAATCAAGAAGTAGGCTGCCGACCAAACCCGCGGTCTGCGGGCCAGGCTTATGAATTTATGCTACCTGTGCGTAAATTCACAAGAAGGGAGAAGAATGAACTCATGAGCACAGGGTTCTTTCCACGGGCACAGAACAGCATTACACACACCGCTGTCTTGTGGCTTTTTGTCACTCAATGATACCATCAGGAACATTCCTCTGTGACATTAGTGGCGGAGTATCGTGTCATACAGTAAAGCATAATTAAATGATGCCCATGGATCCTCGTCTTCTCCACCATGAACTACTTAGGTTTGATCATTTTTACTACAATAAAAATTATTTTTGTCTTTTTGAGACAGGGTCTCGCTATGCAGTTCAGGCCGGCCTTGAGCTCACTTTGTAGCCCAGGCTGGTCTTGAATTTGCAACGCCCCTCCTGCCTCAGTCTCCCGAGTGATGGGATTACAGTAGTGGGCCACCACACCTGGCTACAATAAAAATTTTGAGCCTTTTTTCCAAGGATAAATTTCTAGGAGTAGAATTGCCAGGTAAAGGTTTGAGGAGTATTTCCACTGTGCTCTTGGTAGCCAGCAAGGAGGGCTGGCTGCCTCAGCCTCTGGCATTTAAACACAGAGTTTTGCCAACTGGGTGAACAGAGAAACCCTACCTTGCTATCATTTTAATTTGAATTCCTCAGATAATTAACGAAGAAAAACTTCGTGAGAAAAATGTTTGCTGCGAGTATTTACTGTCTCGCAAACTGCCTGTGTTCTTTGTTCATCTTTTAACTACTGGTTTTGAAGACTCCTTATTAATTAGTCTTGTTGGCCAGTCCCCACACATTTTGTTGGTATTTTCAGGTGCCTTTGTTTTGTTTGTTCCTTGTACTGGGAATCGAATCCAGGGCACTCTCACTGAATGACATCCTCAGACCTTTTTCTTTATTTTTGATTTTGAGACAAGAGTCTAGCTAAGTTATCTGGTTGTCCAGGTAGAGCTCAGATTTACAATCTTTCTGCCTCAGTCTCCCTGAGTGTGGGTTATCACAGGCATGTGACACTATGCACGGCTCTGTTTTTGTCTTTGATTTGCACTTAGAAATCTTTCCCCACACTAAGATTTCACGATCTTTTTCTAAGCCTCAGTCTCCACGCTCCTCCCACCAAGCTGATGGGCTGGACCTGCGGAGAGAGCTCCCTTCCTGGGGTGTAGAGAATGCCACCCAGTTCTCCCTGCCTTCGCGGGGATCCCCAGGTTTGAACTCACTTTGCGGGCACACGGCAAGCATAGTGATGGGAAATCTCGGTGACCTGTATCACTTCATTTAATGCCCCCAAACCACACCAGAAATAGTATCAATTCTACGGTGAGGAATCTGAGGCAGAGAGAGTTTGGGGGAACTGCGGGGTTCACACAGCCCTTGTGCTGGTTTAATGCACAGAAAGCATGACATGGGGAAACCGTGCCTCCCCTCTGGACAGCCACATCTCTGGGCAGCGGAGCTGCTGGGCTCTACCCCGGCTGCTGGGTCTCTCGTCCCCCAGCAGAGCTCCTAGGTGTTCATGGCCCAGGCTGGACATTGGAGCAGCCATCTCTGAGGCCCCTTCCAGCCCTGATTCTCCGGTCTTGCGCTCACCAGGGAGGGCTGATTGAGTCTTGGAGGGAAGTCCAGGCCCGGAGGCTGAGCTGCTCCTGAGCTCGGCCTACGTGACCGATGCCCGGGTGGAAGGAGCAGGGCACAGGGCACAGCGTCTGGTTCCCTGGCCCCGAAGGGCTTACTCCACTGACCTTACCTGCAGCAGTGCCTGGTATTTTCTCAGTCTCTGGCTTGGTCCTTTGAGATACTGAAACAGAGGGCAGCCGTGGTCCAGCTGGCGCTGGCAGACCTTTGAGAGACAAGGAGCAATGACACAGAGCAAGACAGTGAGGGAACCAAGACATTAGCGTTGGACACAAGGATCCAGCCAGAGGGGTGCAGAGTCTGCCAGCCCCACGGGGGCAGGAGCTCCCATGTGCCCCAAACAACAGGGGGAGACAGGGACTGCAGGTGGGGCTGGCTCAGCTGGCAGCCAGAGGGGCAGAGCCTTCTCCTCGCTCCTCGTGGATGCTGTCATACCTGACAGAGGACATGGCCAGGCTTTCTGAGAAGAAGGCAGCTTGGCTTCCAAGCTGGGGGTGAATGGATCTATCAGGATCATTTGGAGCTTGAAGGTGCAGATGGCTTACAGGATGACATTCAAAACCCATCCTAAAAGAGGATGTGGGTTTTCTAGCAGACCTCGGGGCTCCTTGCAGGCCTGGTCTCTAGAGACCCAGGGCACTGGGGCTTCTCTTGAGTCCCCATAAAGTGCGGGGGACGCCAGGCAGATGGGGAGTCCCATGCCAACCCCCCCTGCCTTGTGCAGAATTTTAATTTTTTAAGGATTCAGCGCACAGAAACCCTTTCCAGGGAGAACAGCTGGGAGACTTTGTACGCTCAGACGTTACCCCAAAGTAGGCACAGTCCTGACACTCCTCCCAGACTGCCCTGGCGCGTGGCAGGTTCTTATGGTATTTAAAATACATCTGGAGGTCTTCTTTCTGTGTGGGAAAAAATAGAGCGAATTATCTTCGGAGTGGAGGCAATGACCGATTCATCCAACAAGCCTGAGTATTTCAATGTGTGAGGAACTGGGGGTGCACCAGGAATGAGTTTATGTTGAGGTTTGTCCAGGATGGGCCAGTGAACAGAGAGGGCTGAAAACCCCCTAAATCTTTGCCACACACAAAAATGGTGCTCGGAGATACAAGGGCTTCTCTTTCTTTCTTTCTTTCTTTTTTTTGAGCAAGATTTTACTCTGCAGTTCAGTTTGCTTTGGTTTATAGCCCAGGCTGGCCTTGAACTCACAGTGATCCTCCTGCCTCAGCCTCCCTAGTACTGGGGTACCAGACGTGTACCCTTATGCCAGGCCCAAGGGCTTTTCCTAAGTAGTAAATTCACAGACAGGGGCTGATGTTTATCTTCCTCTGCTCTTTGGCCCCCTAAGAAAACCTCTCTGGGAACAATCTCTCCCAAGTGAGAAATCTGACAGAAAATGTTGGTGGCCCCTCTTTCTCCTCGACACCCTTTCCGCACCCGTCACAATGCCAACCTTACAAAGAGGCCTAAGTAGCAACCCAAAACTGAAAACACCTCAAAAGTTTAGATAATAAATCACAGATCTGAGTCACTTGGGCAACACTCAAGTGGCAAACCTCTGCCTCCGACATCAGATATCAAGGATGTCCCTTTCATCAGAGGTGCAAGACCTTCACCTCCCCTGCCCCCCCCCGCCTCTTACCTCCCCTTCCCTCCCCCTTCCTCTCCCTCTCTCCTTCTGTGAGGTCATACCAAGTGTGCTCTTCCACTGAGCAACACCCTCAGGCTTTTTTAGTTTGAGTCGGGGCACTGGGCAAGGTGGTCCTCAAAATTGCACAGGTAGGATTTGAAAATGCAATTCTACTTCTAAACACACCTCTGGGGCCAGGGTGTAGCTCAGTGGTACAGCGTGTGCTTAGCACCCCTGTGTCTGAATCCCTGACGCCAGGAAACAAAAACAAAGATGCACTGGGGAAGGGAATGACTTCCTCTTTTGCCGCTCTTCCCCCAGCCTCAGAGGTGACGAGCAGTCATTTCGCTGGGGCCGCTGTAACTCTGTCCTCCGCTGTTCCCGCTACGGAAAAATTATGTGCATGTGTGCACACACATACAAAGGAAGGGAGATGCTTCTTGGGAATCATGTTCAGATTTGTTAAGGAATAATCCAGAGCTTAGTCTACATATGTTCCCTCATTCAAGAGCTGCCTGCTGCGGGCCTTTGCTGTGCAGAGTACATTTGTGTATTTTATTGATTTTTGAGACAGGGTCTTTCTATGCAGTTCAGGCTGGCCTTGAGGTCACTTTGTAGCCCAGACTGCAGCGATCCTCCTACCTCAGCCGTCTCATCTACATCCAGCCTGATCACACATATATCAGCCCTGCACTCCTTAGGGAGGTCAGGGTTTCACTGCTTTCAACACAAGTAGGCTTTGGAGATTTCACTGCACCCCACGTGACCCCCTCCCTGGCATCCGGCCACCTTTCCCCAAACTGTCCAGAAACATGGAGACCTGACCCTACTGGAGACGATAGGCCATTGAAACCCCTCCCGGAGACCTCCCCAGCCCCTGGTCCTGACTGCGCCACCTGGAGCATTACATGACTCCATGTACCAGCATCTGGTATTGACCTCGAGTTCTTGTGCACCAGCTCATATTCCAGAACACCTTCAAGAAAGGATGCGCACTACCCAGCAGCACATGAGAGTGCTTGCTCCCCAACAGAACAAAATCGCTTCCCCAAACTCGCATGCCACAAGGGAACGTGACTGCTTATGGGTTAAGGCCATGATGAAGTACTATGGTCTAAAGCCAGCTGCTCAGTCAACTTGACCTCAGCTTCCTCATCTATTAAATGGGCTTGTAAGAGTACTCAGTCCGACAAACACAAAATACAGGACCCTGAAAAGGGCCACTCTTGTCCAGGTGCTTTATGTTTTGTAAAACTCTTCTACAGCATCTTTATATTTGCTTCCTATGATAACTTTGCAGATTGGTACCCTCGAGCCTGTGGCACACAGAAGTGAAATAACATTGCAAAGGTGCAGGCATACTGGAAGGCTGAAACAGGAGTATCTCAAATTTAAACCTAGCCTGGGCAATTTAGTGATTTAGTAAGACATTGTGTCAAAATTTAAAAAGGGCTGGAAAGACTAGGGAGTTAGCTCAGCAGCATAAACACCTGCCTGGTGAGTGTGAGGTTGTGAGTTCCATCCCCAGTCCCAACAAAAATAAATATAATAAATAAAAAGGGCTGGGGATATAGTTCAGTGTGAAGATCCTGGGTTCAATTCCCTAGTCCCACAACCCCCTCTAAAAAAGAAAAGGTTACATTTTGTGGGGGGTACTGGGCATTGAATTCATGATGACCTCATGCTTGCCAGGCAGGTGCTTATGCCACTGAGATAAATCCCCGGACCAAAAAGATTACATTTTATGAGTCTTATTCCATTTTACCAAGTGAAATCTCAGTGAGACTGCCACACTCCATAAAGTCCTGACAAAGACTTCTAACCGAGCAGGACCCTGGGAAGGAATCTTCCCAGATGAGAGCAGTTACACGGTCCAATTTGGACACTTGGTTGAAGAGTATTTCAGAATTTGTTCTCAAGGTGAGTGGGCCCTGCAGACACCATTGAGAAAAGGTAAATGGCTCCAGTGAGCAGCACGGAGGCCTCTTCATCCACAACAAGGGGCCCCCCGTGGCCGAGGCCAACATGGCCACAAGCACGGATGCTGAGAGAACTGGGGTTTCTCACTCCTCTGTCCCAGGAGAACCTTTGAGCTCCACAGGAATTTATGGCCTGCATTTTGTCTCCAGCATCGTAAATGAACGCAAGATTAGACGAGAATTCTGCAATCTGGATGAGTGATTTCCAAAGTTCCTCCTGCGGAGAGCCAGCACAAAAACTACAAATGTCAGAAGGAGCAGAAGGAGCTTGGTCCAGGGGAAGTGTTCTCTCAGCGATCCCAGACCGTTTCCTTGGATGCAAATGATTTAGATCGTGTCTCTCTCATCTCCAGGAACCTGGCTGTCTTCTCAGGCAACAATTTCCAATCTCTGCCAGAACCTGTGTGAGCAGCCCTTTAAATACCACTGTGGTCTGAAACCAGATTTCCCCAAAAGTGGTGGATCGAGGGCAGAAATTCGAAATGGCTGGGAACACCACCGAGGCTGGAAGAGCAATTCGAAAAGGCAGAGAATGGACTAAGGACATGACAGCCACAATTCCTGTGTGGAGGAGAAGCCGGGGAAGCCAGGCTGGGCTGCTCAGGTGGGCACAGGGGACTCGGTCTCTCCATGATGTCCAGCACCTCGAGGTCTGGGAGGTTTCATCTGCTCGTCTGCAATTTGTCTCTTATGTGGTCCTCACATGTGTCAGCCATCATTTTATTTATTTATTTTTGAGACCAGGGCCTTGCTTTGTATTGTAGGCCGGCTTTGAACTCACTTCCTGATGCAGGCTGGCCACAAACTCACAATGACCCTCCTGCCTCAGCCTCCTGAGTGCTGAGATTATAGGCATGCACCATCATGCCTGGCTTCAGTCATCATTTGAGTGCCTCAAAAACTTTTAAGTTGTTTATCTGGAGATTTGGACTCACGAAAGTAAAAACAAGAAAAAAAGCTGAGAATTAGAGTGAGTGGGGAAAGAGAAGAAATGGGAAGGCGCGGGAGGATACCACATTAGGGTAAGGAAGTATGTGGTGGGGAAGATGGGTGACAGGCTCCTCCGAGCCAGCTGTCCTGGCCCGAAGATGGGGTACAGAGACAGGCAGAGCCACTGGGGAGAGTCCTGGATGGTGGAGAGGAGGAGATAGTTAGGGACATGTTGTTTGTAAATTGGCTGCTAAGCATAAGAAAGGCCATAGAGCCAGGCATGGTGACACATGCCTGTCATCCCAGCACTCAGGAGGCTGAGGCAGGCACATTACAGAGTTCGAGGCCAGCCTGCGCTACGTAGTGAGTTCAAGGTCAGCCTGAGGTACATAGTGAGGGCCTGTCTTAAAAAATAAAACAAAACGAAGAAAAAAAAAAAAGAGAAAAGAAAGAACATGAAAAGAAAAGAAAGTCTAAAGATTTAAAAATTTCTGATCATTTCCTGTTCTCTAAAATGAGAGAACATTTATTTTCTGGGATTTTTAGTTTAACACCTAAACTCCTCATCTTGAGAGCATTAAGAAGCGCAGTGTGGGCTTTAAGCCTGCTCTTGCCCTGAGGCAGAGTCAGTCCAGGATCACCCCTGGGGGATCTCAGGGAGCCCCGGCCTGGGCACGGGTGGTACCAATCACCAGGATTGTAGCCTGGGTGGAATGGAAAGGGACAGAAAGAAGGCAGGCTGCTGCCGCCACTGCTGCGGCCACCGCTTCCTCCTCCTGCCTGCCTGCCACGGTCTGTTTCTGCTCTGTGATGCCCCTCTGCCGTGCCGCCCTGCCTGGGAACCAGCCAACTATGAACCGAAACCTCTGCAAACTGTGAGCGAAATAAACCTTTCCCCTTCTAAGGCCGGGTGACTGGTGTCCTGTCTCAGCCACAAGAAAAGTAACTGAGACGTCTTCTAAACTCTGCTTCTGTGAGCTCAACTTGGCCACATCTCACACACTCACACTCGCACTCACACCTGCGGTAACTACTCAAGGTGACAGATGTGCTAATCAGCATGGTTCTGGAGTCATTCTACAGTGAATCCCTGAATCAAGTCATCTGTTAGGGCACAGGCAAGTTTCATTTGTCAGTTACATTACCACCCAGCAGGGGTGTTTTTCTCACTGTGGGGTTTCCATTCGCCCTTGCAGAAAAATAAAGACTAACTTTATTCTAGGTTTGCTGGGGGTTCAGACTTACTCTTTTGAGAAAGCAACATGCCAGAAGTTCAGGGTTGTTTGCACACTTCTCCAGTTCTTTTAGAAAAGTCCTAGGGAAATAAAAGCACATAGAATAATGTCTTGATTTTTTAAAAACATGTATGGGTTTAAAACTTAAGTAAAATCACATAAAGTTTCCAGAAGTAGCTAGAAAAATGCCCCAGACTTTATTATTCTCGGCTCATCTTCTACACCTTGAATTGGGGAAAACAGTGTGGTCAGAGCATTGCTGTGGTGGCTGTGAACCCGAAGACAGTGGTGCTGGTCACTCCGAGCACTGGCCAGACTTGGGCAGGGGATGCACTGATGGAGATGGTGAGGTGGGGAACTGCCCGAGGCCACACGGCTGCTGCCATTCATGCCCCTGAGGGTTTACAACAAGCCAGGAAGACTCAGGGCTTCACATTTAACCTTCAGCCTATTCCTGCAGGCCAAGGTTTCATGCATGGAAACCCTGAATGACTTCGCCAGGGAAATCACCAGGAAGTAGCAGAAATGTGATTCCACTTCCTGGAATGACCAATGGGCCAGAGTTGGGATCAGGGGACAGCATGGGGCCATTCTTGCAACCCCGTCCCCGCCAGTAAATTAGTTAGGGCACTTTGGGCCACAGATGGGTGACCCAGAAGGTGGGAGGTCTCAGCTCAACACTCAAGTAGCCTGGGGCCGAAAGGGGACTGATTTTGGGTGGGAGCAGTTTCTGCCAGCACGCTGGAGGGAAGTACGGTTACAGGCAGGGGTCTGGGTCATCTGGGTTCCAGTGCTGTGCACAGTGCCTGGTACAGAACAGATGCTGCAGAAACTCGGAAACATTAAATAAACACAGGGGAACACGCGGCCTGTGCGCATCTGTCCTCTTCCTGGTGGTGTTTGTCTCCTCCTCACTCCCACGCTAGCCTGGAGCAAACCCCTTGCTCCGGCCCAAACAAGTCTAAAGGCTTTCATGTCCCAGTTCTTCGAGTCCGATTCTCACCCCTCACCTCCCTTTCTGTTTTCCTGGCAACGTGAATTGTGGTGTACCTGTTGTGGAATTCATAAAGTTCTTTAATGTTTCCAAAAAGAAAGTCCTTGTTAGTCTGCAAAACATCTGGAATGAGATGCTTTAGCCAAATAAAATCCATTGGGATGATGTAGCCCTGCAGAGATGGGACAAGACAGGTTTTATAGAGAGCATCAGAGAGCATATAAATGAGCAGTTCCTGAACCAAAATTTTAATGAAACAACCAAGGAATACAGCACACGAACTTCCTGAGAATGAGTCCATTAACTATTTTCTTTTGATATCATTTTCCTCACACTATCAGGTGATAGCTTAATAACAATATAACAAAGTGGTATTTTTGTTTGTTTGTTTTGGTTTTTTTGAGACAGGGTCGTGCTATGCCATTCAGGCTGGCCTTGAGCTCACTCCATTGGTCTGGAACTCACAATGATCCTCCTGCCTCAGCCTCCCAAGTGCTGGGATTACAGGTGTGTACCACCACACCCGGCTTCAACAAAATGGTATTTTAATGAGAAGAACAAATACTTTTTGTTAATAAGTTATTATATATGAAAGGCAATATATTTTGTGATATATGCAGCTACTATAAAGTTTTACTATGTTTCCTTCATAACTTGTGAAAAGGTCATTTTATATGGTTATAACTATGATATACATACTTTTGTATTTGCTCCGTATATATGTTCGTCTCATCATAAAAACTTTACATATTATTAACTTAGGCGTCTACCAGGTACATTTTTCAAAACATTGCTACATACTATCTGAAATAACTTTTAAGTGATGAAAATGTATATGTTTGGCACATATATTTTTTAATTTTTATTTTTTCACAAGAAAGCTTTTATTTTTGACACCCAAGGTAAGCTGAAATCAGTCCTCATCTCCTTTTATTAATACTGAAGGAAAAAGGCAAAGCTATTGTTGCACCACTATGTTAAAAATCCAGAAACAATCTGTTTTAAAGGTTTCAATTCATCATACTTTTTAACCATTTCTCTTTTTAGGGATAGTTTGGCTATGTCTGAATTTTCTACTGTAAAAATAGTATGGTAAACTAAGTGTGGTGGCACATGCCTGTAACCCGAGCACTTGTGAGGCTGAGGCAGGAGGATCGTTGTGAGTTCAAGACCAGCCTGGGTTACAAAGTGAGTCAAGGCCAGTCTGCAGTACACAGCGAGACCCTGTCTAAAAGAACAAACAAATGAACAAGCAAGCAAACAAAGCTATGGTAAATAATTTTTGTAAATGTAGTTTTTTCCTTTGATTATTCCATTAGGAAAAGAGAGAAAATATACAGGTTCTTAAGGGGGAAAAAGCTACTTAAAACATAAGTAGCAGGTGGTGGTGTATGCCTGTAATTTCAGCACTTGGGAAACTGAGGCAGGAAAATTCTGAGTTAAGGCCAGCCTGAGCTACATAGCAATATCCTGTTGAGCTAGAGATGGAGATGGAGATAGAGACAGAGATAATGGAGACAGAGACAGAGATGGAGATGGAGATAAATATTTCACTATCAAAAAACAGCTGACAAGCATATGATGAACCAATTTGGACATTGGTATAATCAGTGTAAACTGCTATATTCTCTGGACCTGCTTGGTTACATGGACCAAGAGCTACTGTGCTTTTATTCCTGCCCAAGAGACACATGTGAGGTAAGACCTGAATGAGCCATAGGGGAAATTCTACCGATACCTAACAAGTATTTTGAGGCTTTTCCTGGGACCACACTTCTTGCTTGAATAGATTGCCCAATACCCCGTCTACTTACATCAATTATGCTCTTCATTTCTTTTATGTAAGTCTCTTCGGTCTCGAGCAGATCATGGATAATGTGCCTTAGTCACAGCAGCAAGAGAGCGGGTGGGAAAGAAAGAGACAGGGAGGAAGAGTGCAGTTTTAGAATTCTTTTGGAGGAACGCTCCTGTCCGTCTCCCCTTAGCATCTCACCCCTCTGGGTCTGGGCGGTACTGAGCCCATAATCCAGCATCTCTCGAAAACACATGGTGGTCCCATTCCTACCACGAAGGAACAGCACAGCTGCAAGAAGCCAAGCTGTTTGCTGCACCCTGGTCTTTTGGGTGGGCCAAGCGGTACGGGGGGTCAGGGAAGGTGGGGGCACTGGGGGTCTGGCCAACTCAAGCTTGGGCCAGAAAAGCCTGCTTGGTGTCCACTGGTGGACATAGCTCCAGCTTTCTCCTGGCTCATCACTCACACCAAGACATCTGACGTCCTCAGAGGGGTACTGAAAGGGTTTTGGCCCAGGCCGGATACTGTAGCCAGTAAAGCCAGAAACCTCCTATCTCCTGCACCCTTAGGAATTGCCTCTGGCACCGAACTAAGACCAATGGGCTACCTGTGCATCCCTAATGCCCCCTTAGGTTCCACCCCAAGCCGAGGCTACTTATGTGCCTCACTCCACGTGTTCCACAGAGAGATTGCCAGCCCCGGGGTGGAGATGCCATGCCCCAGGGGGTCGAGGGTGTCTCTCCCCACATTCCCAAAATAAATGTTACTTATATTTCATACTTTTTATCTTTTCAGCTGCTGCCGGTCCTCCTCCTCTCCCCACAGTTCTATCAGATGGTTCCCTGACCAGGAACAGCAGGCGAGAGACTCTTGGGGCTGGTTCCCAGTTTTGAGTCCCCTGCTGTTCAGGACCTACCGGACTGCATCCTGCATTAATTCCTCACTTCTACACTCAGGAACTGTAAGCTTGGCTGCTGGTTTGCAAACAACACCCACCAATTTACCACAGGTGAGCAACTCCCTGGAGACAGCCACTGGGCCAGGCTCAGGTGGATTTTCTCCCCGCTTTGCGTGGGTTCGTGATGCTTTCACGTCTTTTAGACAGCCCAAACCAAGGCCATTCTGGGCAAGCTGGTGTCCACTCTGGACAGCCCACACTGAGAGGCCCTCATGTTTTTCCAGAGCTTTTTAAGTTCTTACGGGCAAACAGCCCAAACTAGGGGCTTTCTGGGCAAGCCTGTGTCCGTTCCTGGACCGCCCACACTGAGAGACCCTCACTTTAGAGCTTTTTAAGTTCTCATGGCAGAGTGGTTACTTGGCCCATGCAAAGTCCACTCTTAATATTGGTGATGGCCAATTATTAAGAGTTTAAAGCCATATAGCCAACCCGTAGGTCTGGGGTGCAGTGTGACGACTCTAATCCTGACAGACCACGGTCTGTTGCCTCATCTGATTGTAGCCCCATGGGCTAGACCCCACACCAGATTTTATCTCGGAGACCACTTCCTGTCCCCCCCCCTCCCCCAGAAACCATACCTATTTATGGCTTATCACACTACAGACAAGCTTACAAAACTTTCTTATCTTTGTTTTGGGAATGTACCCCTTCCCGCCAGCTTCCCTGTCCCTTTGTCTCCTCCAGGATCCCTCCGCCTCCCCACACTTAAAGAGATAACAGCGTCTCTTTGTTTCCCATGTGCGCCAACCCATCCCCCGCCACTGAGATTAAAAATAAGACCAAACAATGTTGAGATACACATAAGATTTTAAACAGCTTTTTGGCTCTCACACCGTGCTCCAATTCTGTGCAGTATCTCGACTCTCATGTGGCACTTCAGGTCCACATGGGGTTGGTGTTTCTGTGTGCTCCACAAACAGTTTCAGCTCCATGTGACAACTCAGCTTCACATCCAACCCATTCCCCGCTGCGCCGGCCCATTCGTGCCGGCCCATTCGTGCCGGCCCATTGGTGCCTCCCCATTCCGTTGTTGAGAGATACGCGTGGGACTGCTTTTCAAACAGCTTTTGGCTCTTGCACACCGCAGCCCCCAACCCCACACAGCGTGTTTCAGCTCTCATGAGGCCAGGTCCCGTGCCTTGGTCTGCACCACGGGTTCAGCGTTTGGGACTGCGCCCTGGGCCACGCGCCCTGTGAGTGGCTCCTACGGGTGACTGTTCGCCAGGCTGCTGGCCGTGTGCCCCTGGGAGCAGAGCCACACTTGGCTAAAAGCTGTGATACATCTCCCAGCCCCACCGCTGCTGCCACCACCCCACCCCCGCCCTCGCCGCCCTTTGTGCCGTACGCCGCAGGCTCCATCACCAACAGCGGGCCAGCCCCTGCACCTCGGGCCCACCGCAGCAGCCACCGTGAGCCTGCCCACCGTTGCAGCCGGCACTGCCCTCCCCCTCGCCGTCGCAGCTAAAATGCATATTTCTCTGCACCGTCCTACCACCATTGTTGCCGTTTCGGGGTGCGATCTCAGCCCGCCCCTGTGCGCTGTGTCCCAGCGCTCACCCCGCCCACTCTTCATGTTCCACCTACGCGCTACATGCCAGATAATCTCGGCCCGGCCCAAGCGCTACTATGCTCTCTCTACAGGCGTGCTCTGTCTGTCTCAGAGTTCCAAACTGTCTTGGACACTTTGCGTTTCCTAGACAGGCTCCTCCCAAATATAAGCACTTCTTTAAACACAAACACATATAACACCTTGGCGGCTCCGCTCAAACATATTGTTTTTACAATTCAGTTCCACTCAAGAGAGGCTATTTTTATTACAGTTTTTCCAACCATTTATTCAAGGTTAGTGGTCACCTGGTAATTTTACCAGTCTTGATTATCAATTAAAGTCTACACTAATCTCCTGTTTTAACCAGTAAAATTAAGAGATATTTATCAATTCCTTTTTGCTGTAGACCACCAGTAATGTTCTAAATTTATTGCTTCTACTGTACTGTGTTGTCACCAATCTCCTGTTTAACAACTAAGGTTATAAATTCCTTTTTGCTGGAAACCACTAGCTCTGTTCCAAGACAAGGGTTTTGTTAAAAATTCTAATGTTATCCACCACCAGTAATGTTCTCTGTTAAATTTATTGCTTCTACTGTACTGTGTTTTCGCCAATCTCCTGTTTAACAACTTAAGGTTATAATAACTTGAGAGTATATACTAAGTTATAATAACTTGAAGATATATTTGTCTTGGTTAAGACTTGTGGGTATATAAAAAATTATATGAGGCTCAAAAAGATATAATTTTTAAAAGCTTAAAAGGTGTTAACTTGAGAGTATATACTAAGTTAATACATCTATTCATAAGATTGGTAAACCTTTACTTCAAAAGGTTTCCATTAAAGCCTTTTTAGACAGACTAAAACCTTTTTGCTAATTCCACGTGGCCCCCTATAAAAAAGTGATATGCCATCCAGATAAAGCCTGCTTTCTGATATTAAGCTCCTACATACTTACTTAATTCTACAGATACGTTTTACTGTAGTCCAGATCTCAAGCAACAAGGCAAAACTTGACCTTCAAGCTCCACAGAGACCTTGATATGGTTTTTCATATTTTAAATAACAGTTGCAGTTCTGAGACAGACAAATCTACACAAGGTAGAGCTACCTCCTCCCATCCCATGAACCACGCTCAAATGCAGCATAAGACATTGGGCAAGAAAATGCCCCATCCTGGCGTTCTTTGAGACCTTACTCCAGGGCTGCTGGGCTGTCCTGGCCACCAGAGAGTGGGTGGGCCATCCTAACTTCTAGCCCTCACAGGACACTGCCAGATTTGTCGCCTACGAAAATTGCTGCCAAAGACTGAGAGGGGCTAAGGGCCAACAACAGCCGCCTTTGTGGGTGTCTGTCTCAGAGTCCAAGTCACATTAAAACTCTCAAGGTAAGACATTCTCTATATTTATGGACATAGAGGCCATATATACAGAGTTCTTACAGAGTTTTCAGGCTACTATAATAAATCCTCAATGTCTGACAGAGTATTAAAGGTCAACCTATGCCATTTACAAACAGGGCCTATTTTGTACAGGTCCCAGTCCTAAATCTTAAAATGCTTTTATTCCCTTTTATACAGGCTGATAGATACATTTTGTCTTCTCACTTTGTTTATACTTTTTCAGGATATATAAAAACCTTTCCCATAACCAGGTAAACTGCTGATATACTTGCCAAAGTTCTGTTACACCAAATCATTCCAAGAATTAAGTTGCTAGACTGCCATTCTGATTTCACATCACTCAGGCCCTAGATCTGACCATCCTTTTTGTACTCATCTCTGCCTTGCCAAGGCCTCACAGCCAGGACTTACAGGTTGTTATGTTTTGTTATCCACTTTGGTTTCTAATTTCCTACATTTTATTAATGATCATTTTTGCAGCAGGACTCTTTAACAGTATTGCCTACAGACTCCAACGTCATGCATACCAGAGACAAGCCTTACCGACCTACCTCTTAACTGTTATGCTTTCAGATGGGGGAGTAAGCACCTCTCATAACTTCACTCCTCCTAATCCCATGTTTAATTTTCAGAATTCTGCCTTACTGTGGAAATGATCCTACCTCAATATTGTCCTGATAAAATGACATGTCTAAATCAAAGACACCTTTCCTTCTACCTCACCTGGGTCCTTAAATATGACAGTGCCATGTCTCCTCTAAACATCTTGTCTCTTTGTTTTTTTCAGTCTAACATACGTGCATTCACCAGTGAAGTTGTCCTGGCTAAAACACCTGACACCAGTTTCTACCTAGACATCAACCGTCATCCCGTCAACTCCGCTAGACCCCAGTACAGTGCCCTCAGCCAGCAGGAAGTAAAGAGAGAAATCTTCACCCCTTTTCATAATAATCATAAGATGGGATATGAAAGGGTTTTGGCCCAGGCCGGATACTGTAGCCGGTAAAGCCAGGAAGCTCCTATCTCCCGCACCCTTAGGAATTGCCTCTGGTGCCAAACTAAGACCAATGGGCTACCTGTGCAACCCTAATGCCCCCCTTAGGTTCCACCCCAAGCCGAGGCTACTTATGTGCCTCACTCCACGTGTTCCACGGAGAGATTGCCAGCCCCGGGGTGGAGA